GCCCGGGACTGCCTGCAAACGCCCGAGCCGTTTGCAAGGCTCGGGACATAACAAAATCCATTGTTCACTATGGGATGTTTGTGCTGAAAACCAGAAGTAAACACCAGTTTTCAGCAAAAATGTCATAAATCATGTTCATGAGACCACAGGGTAGTACAAACAGCTGTATATGTAAGCCAGTTGTTGAGCACCCAAAATGTCTGTGTGTGGGGGGGAGGGTAGAGGTGGCCATTGGAACTTCAGAACCAGGTCATAAGTGCCTTTTGGGAGGGCCTATCTTAACTTTGAATGTTTGCTAAGTGACCACCGTAAGTCAAGGATTACCTGTAAACAGAATCTTGCAAACTTTGGCATTATATTGCAGCAACTTTCTGCACTGCTTTTGGATGTAATCTTGCTGCTCCTGCTTTTAATAACACAGAGATCCCCAACCTTTTGGGCACCAGGGACTGGTTCCATGGAGAGAGCTTTTTCCGTGGACCAGAGGGGGCGTGGTTTCGCGTGCTGCCTGCATCCCATGAATGGGGCTTCCCTTGTTTGCGTAGCCCGGTTTCTGGCATGCTGTGGCCCGGTGCAGGTCTATGGACCAGGGATTGGGAACCCCTGTCCTACATCATGTTTGTTTCCCAGATCAGAGATCCCCAATCTTTTGGGCACCAGGGACTGGTTCCATGGAGAGAGCTTTTTCCGTGGATGCATGGTTTTGTGTGCTGCTTGCATCCTGTGGATGGGGCTTTCCTTGTTTGTGCAGCCCGGTTGCTGGCTTGCCGCGGCACGGTACTGGTCCACGGCCCGGGGGTTGGGGACCCCTGGGTTAACAGAGTTGGAAGGGACCTTGGAGATCTTCTAGTCAAACCCTGCTCAGGCAGGAGACTCTGTACCATTTCAGACAAATGGTTATCCAATCTCTTCTTAAAAATCTTCAGTGATGGAGCATCCACAACTTCTGGAGGCAAGTCGTTCCACTGATTAATTGTTCTCATTCAGGAAATGTCTCTTTAGTCCTCGGATTGCTTCTCTCCTTGATTATCCATTGCTTCTTGTCCTGCCTCACAAACGGTTCCTGCAGATCTCCATCAAGGTCATCTTTTTTACTTTCTTCAATGCCCTGTTTTACCATCCTGAGAAAATCTTATGGCTACATTTACATATTGATGTGGCTTTCAACAGGATCCATGACCCTCCTTTAAAACTCCAATTAAATGGCTCTGTTGTTAAGTGAATTTTGCCCCATTTTATGACCTTTCTTGCCACAACCTTTAAGTCAGGGGTCCCCAACCCAACCCCCGGTCCATGGACCTGGACCGGGCTGCGGCATGACAGCAACTGGTCTGCACAAAGAAGCAAAACCCCATCCATGAGATGCAGGCAGCACACAAAACCATGCACTTTCTGGTCTGTGGAAAAACCTTTCTCCACGGAACTGGTCCCTGGTGCCCAAAAGGTTGGGGACCTCTGCCTTAAGTGACTGCACTTGTTAAGTTAGTAACATGGTTGTAAAGTAAATCTGGCTTCCCCATTGACTTTGTTTGTCAGAAGGTTGCAAAAGGGGATCATATGACCCCGGGATACTGCAACTGTCATAAATATGAGTCAGTTGCCAAACATGAATTTTAATCACATGACCGTGGGGATACTGCAATGATTGTGTAAAAAATGATCATAAATCACTTTTTTTCGGTGCTGTTGTAACTTCAAATAGTCAGTAAGTGACCTGTTGTAAGTTGAGGACTATCTACTATACTGTAAATTAGACCATAACTTTATTTTATCAGTTGGGTTCACACACAATGGGTAAATAAAAGAACATTAAATACGGTTCAAACTAACCATACTTCAATTGTTGTGTGAATGCAGACCCCATGTTTTAATTGGCATGGCTAAAAATCTTTTTGTGAATACACCCTACAAGTGACACATTTCAAAATTCTGCAGCCTACAGGAGACGAAAGAAATAAAATGAATATCCAACTGCACACTCAGATGTAAGAATCACTCCTGGCTTGAGATACGCTCATGCCCTTAAGCAAGGTTAACCTGCTTTGGGGCTGGATTTTCAAATCCCTGAGCAAGAATTAAAAGCAGCAATCCAATTATGAAAAGAGTTTCTCTTTACATCTTAAGGATTTTTAGTTAAGACTGTTGTCCTGTCCAAGTTTTCTCCAGAAAGCTTATAATCAATATCATATTTTTAAAATGAAGCCAGTGGATAATATTGCTTTCCCTCTGCCAGGAGAAGGGAGGGGCTGGTTTTTGGCAAAATCTCTATTCCTGGCACTTTCCCAGAAAATCTGAAGCCTCCACCCCACTGATGGGGCGGGGGGGGGAGGATAAAAAATGTCCCATTCCAGTTACATGTGCTTCTCATCCACGGACTGATTTATCAGTCCATCCTCTTTTAACTGAAAGCATATTTAAAATTAAAAAGTCTGAGTCATCTTAAATTGCACAAGGGACTTCCAGAAAGATGGGGCTAATATTGACCATAAGATGGTTTGCGTGACAAGCATTTTAATTTCAGTGCTAGCCATCAGTATTGGCCCAATGCAATTCACTTGTGGTCTCATGACCACAAATGGAATCAAACTGGGTTAATACTTAAAAAATTCTATGTTTTGCACTGGATTGTAGGTGTCTGTTACACTACAATCTTAGCACTACTGGAGGAATGTATATATACAAATGATGTCGCAGTTGGTGACTGCTGCCTGTGAATGGCTCTAGATTGAGCTGATACAGGCGAAAGAAAAAGAAAGATTTCTTTCTCCCGTATTTGGGGCAACAGGGTGCACCAAAAAACACTCAAGTTAAATCTCCTCCCCTTGTCTCTTCCCTCCCTGATACAGCTGACAAAGTGAGAAAGAGCCTGTGGCCTAGAGTTTAACACAGCTGCCTAACATGTAAGCAGCCCAGGTTCGAATCTCAGAAGGGTATGTTTGGCTGAAGAGAGCTAAGAAGCTCGAAATAGCTATTCCCTCCTCCCTTATTCTGTTAGCAATCCAACGAGTGTGTGTGTGTGTGTGTGTGTGTGTGTATTTCCAATAACTTCTAGACTTGGTATATAGAGCTTAACTGCTGTCCTCTATAATACTTTTAAATGCAACCCCAAAAGAAGAATGGATGACATTTGTGACAAAGTGATGCTAAAATGAAGACTGTGTGTCTGTCATCATGACACAAAGGTTGCTATTATCGACTTGCATCCTGACATCTGATGCATGGATGTGAGCCACAGTGGTGCATTGTTTAGAATGCGGTATTGCAGGCTAATTCTGCTGACTGCCCGCAGTTTGATTCAGACCGGCTCAAGGTTGATTCAGCCTTCCATTCTTTCAAGGTCAGTAAAATGAGGACCCAGATTGTTGGAGGCAATATGCTGACTCAGTAAACCTCTTAGAGAGGGCTGTGAAGCAATGTGAAGCAGCATATAAGTCTAAGTGATATTGCTATTTGCATAGTGACCTCATCATATACCTTTCATCATCTACCATGTGTTTTTCCATGGATGTCCATGGGATGGTTTGCTTTTAAAAGATCTTTGCCCAGACTTGAAGGGATGCTCGCTTGATATAAGCTCCGTCTCTTCTGGGCATGCATGTGATGTCACCATCTAGTGAGAAGGAGCGATGACACTATACAATACAGAAGCCTTTCTAATCCCCTTTGGCCTTTTACAGTTGCCACTGTTTGGACCTTCAGGCAATTAGGTCTTTTCCTAAAGCATCTGCTGAAATGTTGAAGGTGTTCAGTTGAAGGTGTCCCCCAACAGACTCTACATGCTCCAATTCACCTGTTGTCTTTTAAATCCCAAATCCTGCACAGCTCTGTTAGTCTGCAAAGTGGATTTCCCAGAATCTTAAAAGGAAATCCCTGCTAAGGAACCAGTCATTCCTATGGCTAAAACAAAATATGCAGCTGTGTTTCATAGTTCCGATTTCTTGTCATCATGATCATCATCAAACGGAAGCTGCAGAACAAACTTCTGCAAACTGACTGGGGAATTTGTGAAGTTGAAGTTCACACACTTTAAAAGTTGCCGAGGTTCAGAAACCCTGGTCCAAAGATGACCATCATGATGGTGGGTGCTTAATAGTTCATAATGAACAAGAATGTATCTGCTTTAACAGCAACAACTCTAGGATGGGAACACCGGCAGTGTATTCAGATACAGCCTTTGGTCTCTGGCATTTCTGTCACCCCAATAATGTTGGGGTGACACTATTTTCTTTATCATCACACAACTACACTCAGCTCTGAGGCAGAGGTGAACTGGAAGAATCAGGTGGGAGAAGAAAGGGAGATTGTCTTGGGGTTCTGGAAAGACCTGGGCTCAGCTCCCTTGGCTTTCCATCTTTGACACTTTCTGCAAGATTTTTAAGTAATGTCATTCTGAAAACTTGTACATAAAGGTAGTCCTCAGCTTATGACTGTAGTTAGCCTAGAATTATAGTCATGCCGTCACTAAGTGGGTTATCATGTAACCAACCCAATTTTACAACATTTTTTTGCGGTAGTTGTTACATGAACTCCATGGTTGTTAAGTAAACTCATTGTCTGCAACGAATTTTTTTTTTTTTTTGCCAAAAACCAGATATAAACACTGGTTTCCAGGGGGAAAAAAAGCAAATTGCAGGCACATCACTGTGGGATGCTGCAAACAATCATAAATATGATCCGGTTGTCGAATGCCCAAAATGCGATCACGTGACCAGGGGGACAACTATCACATATATCCAGTTCACGGGTACCCTTTGGGGGGGGGAATCTGTGATAATTTCAAACAGTTGCTGACAAGTCATAAGGGTCGAGGACTATCTGTACAGAAATGCATTTCAAATAGCTGGTAAATTGCCCTGGTCTTTACAACATCAGCTACAGATTTGGCAATCATGACAATAGAAACTATACAGTCATGCCAAAAGCAGGCAGCTGGAGAACTTACAGCTTGAATCAGAAACCAAACAGAAAACCCAAGCCCAATCACCAATCCAATTCTTAACCTTTCTTTCTGCTCATGTAAAGCTGCCAACTTCCCCGCTTCTCAGTTTCTGTTTTCCCAGGGCTGCCTTTCTCAAGGCAGGGCCTCCAGATGTTTTGCAACTGCCATTCCTTACGATACCCAGTGCATTTCCTATTACGCTGTAATGGACTCATCTGGAAGCAATCAAGTCAAGGAAGGTGGCTCCACAATGACCCAACTGAATCAACGCTTAGTTTTCCTCCATCTAGCATGACTTCCATCTGTTCTTCCTCCTTGTGAAAATGTGATCAGCTGTGGTCCATCTTCATCTGGGTTCGACCTCTTTCTGAGTCCAGGTCCACCAGCTGAAGATATGCCTAACTACAGTGTCTCTTGGACTCAGCTTCTGGAGCCTGCAATGTAGTGACTCCAAAGTTTTCTGGAGCCTGGCCAGATTCCTGCTAGCAGAGCCAAGGAAGAGTAATGTCCGTGTATGACTTTGTGTGTGCCTCCCTGAACATATATGTGCATGTGGCTTTTAAAAATAGAATTCCTTTTCATTGGAAGCCGTAGGGGAGAATCATTCTATGCCAGCTTCAGGACTGGCATAGATTACACACCAATTTGGCTGCTGGGGACCAAGAGGACCTCAGATTGAAACCTCCACTCCTTCTACAGGCCCCTTGGCAGCCCCTCAATATGACTCCTCATGTCTAATTCTGTTGCTAGACTTCTGAATACCAGAAAGGACCCCATTGCAAATCCAAGCTGAAGACTGGAGGAATTACAATGTCAGGTTTCCATCTTCCCAAGCCAGCAAATATGAAGAGGGGAACATCCATTAGGCCTATTACCTTTAGTTCCACCATTGTATTTTGAAGACTGCAGCTGAAAAGGAAAGACCCTTCTTAAAAGATACCTTTAAAAAAGCACTTTAATCTCAATGGGTTTTGTGTATTCCCTTCCTTCCTCCCCCCCTCCCCATTTTAAGACAACTGAAATAATTTCTTCTCAAGCCTGAATGCAAACTGGAAAGCTTTTCTTTCAGACTTCACCTTTCTGAGCACTGGTGATGCAATTCTCACTCACATATTGATTATAGAAGATACACTGATATCCATCGATTCCAAAACAATACAGGGACAGCAGCGCCATCAGGCGAATGCTGTCATTATATACTTGCATGTCATAGCATTGCTGTGGAGACAACATCCTTCTTGGGTTGCCATCTGCTGTGCCCCAGACACCTATGCGGAAATGTATACCTAACAGAAAGTTGCCCATAAAAACAAGTGTGTCCAAAAAGTTTCTAAAAATGCTTCCACTGGTAAAAGAAATGGAAGATAATCAATTTCTTATTCATTATATATGACAGAACATCTTCTGGATCCAGAATTAAAATTCAGTTCTTCTCAGTTTTTTTGCAGGACCCCAATTTTACTTGAATTGTGGCATCTCACCTTTACACAACTGTCTACCTTAAATATTGCTGGATTTAAATATTGCTGGATGTTTACAAGCATCCATTTCAAAGCCCTTTCCTCTGTTATCACAAGAAGATACCTTAATAGTTTTCCTCTAGTTTGCTGCCTCCTCCCTTATAGCATGGAGAAAGTTGAATCTATTGCACACAAGCTATTACCCTGCAGTTTTTATCTGGGTTGACATCAACATTTAATTTTTCCTTTTCTAGCAACAATTCCAGGGCAATCAGATGATTACTTTGTAACTGTCCTATTAGCCTACAAAAACTTCCAGGTTATTATTATTGTCTCTAACATTTGCTTCTTAGCGTCAAGAATGAAGCAGAAAATACTTCCCAAAGATCAAGGTCTAATCTTATAAACGTGGCTTGTTTTTTGCCCTACTCTGTATGTTTATTTGTTTGTCTGTTTGGCTTCAGGCCACGATAAAAATTTATCACAGCATATGCAATTAACATGAAGCAAATACATGCTCCTCCCTACCTCTTTTCCATGAAAGACAGGGAACACTGTACAATTGTGCCTATTGCTAATTACTGAGCTGTTTTCATTTCCCCAGACTTAAACATGACTAATTAAACTCTGCTTTCCCGTCAGATAATGAAACCACAGTCTCACTTAAGCAGGTGGTCATAAAACAGATTGTCTACCAACGCGCCTTCCCCCCACCTTCAATTCAGAGTGATGCAGTTTCTACCAAGGTTGGAGAAACTCAAGCACTGTCCTTTCACAATGCATCTTCAGAAATAGGAAGACATTTCATAATACTCAAGACTTCTTTGATCAGCTAATGGGTAAATTACATAAGCAGCTCTTTGGAACATCTTAAAAGCATAAATCTGTGACAGACAATTTTGAAAAGTCTTATATTGGAAGAATGTGTTGAATGGTCATCATGAGACAACAATGGGTCCAACATCCTATTAGTATCCTATTGATATTAATTTGGTGATTCTATCTGGCAAACAAAACCTTTCCCGAAGTCCCATAGTGGGAAGCTACACAACAACTCCACAACATTGTCTAGTTACTTATATAACCTTTTTCCAACCTAACTTACTGTCCTCCTAACGTGGCTTCTTGCCAAGCCACTTAGAAATTCTGGGAGTTGTAGTCTCAACAACATCTGGAAAAGGCTGGGCTAGACTCGTAGTCTCATCTAGATAGTTTCTCAAGTGATTTTGTAACAGTTTTCTGCAATCCTGTTCTACACTTTTATTACAGTGCAAACATCAAAATGAGAGGCCTCTCAAAATGCAGTACTGTGGCTTGGAGGGAAGTGATGCTTAAAAATAAATTCTTCCTATGTTCAATTATACACAGACCAACTAGATCTCAAAGAACCTGCTGTGATAAATTTATGAGACAAAAAAGGTTGATCCATCATCAGCTATTTTTATATTAACATGTCTGGGAGTAGAACAGAAGACAGAAACTAAATTTGGTTTGTTTAATAGATTCTTCCAAGTCTGGGAAAAGAAACAGAAATAAAAATAATTCACATACTGGATCAAAATGTTAATGCACAAGCATATTGAGAATTGCTAGATTGATTCATTATTAAAAATGTAATGAACCAATAAATAAACAACATATTAATCTGGTTGATTAAAAGCTGTACTAAAATGAGCTATTTTATATTTAGCTAATAGCTGAAACTGCAAAGACCAGCAAACTCTAATAATAAAAGTCAAAGAGACAGAAAAAAATGTGACAAAACATAAATATAAAGAAGACCAGATTAATAATATATGTAACAATTAGGAATTGAGAATTCCTCTTCTGCCTTTTAAAGTCAACAATCAAAAGTAAAGGATCAACAATCAAGAAATATGCCCCAGACTAACACTTGGTAGAACAGTCATAATGCTTTGGAAAAGGTACTCAAATGCTGAGGTGGGTCTATACATACAAAGCATCAAAATCATGCAAGCCATGGCATTCCCTAAGACAGTGGTGGCGAACCTATGGCACAGGTGCCAGAGGCGGCACTCAGAGCCCCTCTGTGGGCACATGTGCCATTGCCCCAGCCTTGCCTCCCCCTGCAACCCTCTCCTCACCAGCAGCTCCCCTGGAGGTGTCGCCCCTGAGCGTGGCCCATGTGGAGCAGCGCAGCCAAGGACATGGCAGCCAGGCAGCGTAGACAAGACTCTGCCCTCACGCCCCACCACGCATAGTTGATGCTGCGGGGCACGGGCAGAGGACGCGGACGCCATGGCGCTGGGCTGCCTGGGCGATCTGCGGCAGGCCCTGGAGGCGGTGAGTGGTCCTGCGGGCAGGTGGGGTGGAGGCAGAGCAGGGGCGGGGCCAGTTTTTGGGCACTCAGTCTCTAAAAGGTTCGCCATCACTGCCCAAGGATGCTCTATGGAAGTGAAAGTTGGACTTTGAAGAAGCAAAGGAGATGATCTTTGATCTTTTGTGTTGGAGAAGGCTCCTGAAATACATCAGGCACCCAAGAAAACAAACAATGGATAATCAAACAAATCAGGGTTCTCACTGAAGGCACTAATGACCAGGCTCCAATTTTCCTACTTTGAATACATTATGTGCAAACCCAGCTCTCTAGAGGAGGTTCCAAGGCTGGGGAAGAGGGAAGGAAAGAGAAGAAGACAACCAGTAGCAAGATGGACGGGACCCATTTAGAGTAGCGATGAATGCATCTTTGGAAGACCTGAAAGACACGATTAGGGACAGACTGCCATGGAGAAAATCTATGTGGTCTCTTAAGAATTGACAATGACTTGACAGCACATAGTCACTCAAGCAGCCAAAACTGAGGAAGCTCTAGTAAAGTCAAGAGGTGTCTTATTTTTGAGCAGGTTGGCATAGTTGTATGCTAAGCTGTTTGATTAGCTTCAGAATTTACTGATGAACCAAGTTTATGTAACATTTGCATTGGGTTTGTATAACTCAAAATTAATGTATATTTTCCTTTGGGGAGGGAAGGAATTCCATATGCTCAAATTACAATTCTAGGCATATTTATTCTAGAGCAGGGGTGTCAAACTGCCGACCCACAGGCCAGATGCGTCATGCAGAAGCCGCGCCCACCCCAATGCTGGCAATGGCAAAAGAGTCCTGAAATGTCACGCGACGTCATGTGACGTTGCAAGTTTGACACATCTGTTCTAGAGTAAACCCCATACGATTGCTAGGCTTCCTTTGGAGAAACTCTTAATCCAAGCAATTTGGTTAACACCTAGCAACCCTAATCAGTTTAGGGGTTAATTAAAAGATGCCAGATAACAAACCTGGGTGATATTATGCTCATGAAACCAGAGCTCCACCCCTCTGGTTCAGAAAGAAGCAACTCTGTACATTACTGGCTCTTGCTTATAAATAAACATCAACAGGGCTGATTGCAACATGAAGGATACATTTCCCAGTGCAAGATTCAGTGATGCTCACTCCACGAATCAATTAGGCAACTGCAAAAAAAAAAATCTAATTTCAGTGAAACCCAGGTAATAGAGACGGATCCTACAATTTAGTGCAATGCCATAGACAAGGGGGTGGTGTGGTGCTTATAATAGTATCTACATCACAGTCCTAAAGGGGAATGAAAGAGCGTCCTCCTGTGATGACAGCCTCCTTGCTGTAGGCAAGGTCAGGAATTGAAGACAACAGCTAGTGCAAATATCCAGCGGGGAAGGGGTTTGTTGGAGATGTTGCGTTTACTAACACCTTACCTACTGATTAGTTCTTAAAAACATCTTCACACCTTCTCTAATTTTATACAATTCTGATGGACTGGACTACACATTCCACCAACTACCTCATGCACCTGTGGGGCTGAGGAACACCAGTAAGCCGTTCCTCTAACTTGGCTCTTCCTGGATACAAATAAACTGTTTTACATATCATCTAATCCAGGGCTTTTCAACCAGTAGTACAGGTACCACCTGTGGTACATTGGCACATGGCAGGTGGTATGCGACCATCCTAGAAAAGTGGTAGCGGGGGAGGGGAATGAGCTGAACCAGTGGCAGGGCTGTCAGGGCTCAGTGGAAGCGCCAGGATCAGCGTTTCTTTGGGGTTCTCAGGGCTCAGTGGAAGCGCCAGGATCAGTGCCAGGCTCCAGCTGGAGCTGGGCGCTGATCCTGGTGCTTCTGCTGAGCCCAGAAGAAGCGCTGATCAGCTGGAATGTTGCAGCATCTCCAGGGTCTTGTGATTTACATTCAGATGCTTGGCAACTGATTCATATTTATGACGGTCACAGTGACCCAGGGTCATGTGAAGTGATCCAAACCTGCTGCTACCACTCAGCAGATGGGGGGAATAAAAACCAAACACCCCCCCACCCCACTCCCGCTGCCAATCCTCAACAGAAATGCCTCACAACAATGAAAACCTCGGATAGGAGGAAGAGCGTCGCAGGCAGGTGTCTTGCTTGGCTGTGTCTTGGGGAGGCACTTTTTTCAGTGCTATTGTAACTTTGAACAGTCACTAAGCGAACTGTTGTAAGTCAAGGACTACCTGTACTTTATCACTTTTTTCCTTTTTTTTTTGTCATCAAGTTTTTGACATCGTGCTAGGCGATTGGTGGTACTCGGATATTGCCATATCCTAAAAGTGGTACAATGGGTGAAAAGGTTGAAAAGCCCTGATCTAAGTTCATCTACTGAAGTACAGGCTTGTTATCACAATTGAGCCCAAAATTTCTGTTGCTGAGACAATTGTTAAGTGACTTATGCCCCATTTTACAACCTTCCTTGTCACACTTGTTAAGTGAATCATTTCAGTGGTTAAGTTAGGAAAATGTTCATTAGGTGAATCTGTCTTCCCCATTAACTTTGCCTATCAGAAGGTCGCAAAAGGGGATCACATGACCCCTGGGACACTGCAATTGTCATTGCCAGTTGCCGAGTATCTGAATTTTGATCGTGTGACCATGGGGATGCCGGAGTGGTCATAAGTGTGAAAAACGGTCATAAGTCACTTTTTTCAGTGCCCTTGTACCTCTCTGAACTGTCACTAAATGAACTGTTGTAAGTTGAGGACTACTTGTGTTTTATTTTGATAATACTGGATCCACACTTTACACAAGGGCATGGTTTGTTGCATAAACTACCTTTTGAATCAGGGCAGTCTACTAGCCCAGATGTTAGGTGTTAATTTCAAAAGCCAGACTGGTTGAGTTCACATGAAGCATGTATATTTTGAGCTATATCCAAGTTGGGCAAAAACAGGCATCAACTTATTCTGTTTTATTGTTATTCATAAAACTCTTCTAAAAATACAGGAGGGGGGAGGAGGGAGGATCACATGTGCAGCCAATTTTACTCAGTTACTACTCAAGACACTCTTGAACCCTCACCCAGCACATCTCTTCTCCCTTAGAGATTGTAAAGCCTCTCTCCCCACACTGAAATCCCTTTGATCAACCAGGACTGGATGCTAGCCAAACGCCTTCTACTCATGTTGCTTTCTCCTTTAATATCCTTGCCTAAGACACAGTCTCCTCTTCCTCCCACTTTTTTAGAGCCATCAATGTTAGAAGCACTTCTGAGCTCCCACCAGACTCATAAAAGTCCTTTAAAAAATAAAGCAGAAACTGTCCCGGAACCAAACATCTGGATGTATCAATTTAGGTCCATCATTACCACTGCTCCAATTTGCCATCAAAAGAGCAAAGCGCAGGTTTTGGTGAATTTAGGATCCTCGTAGCCTCTTCCTGAAAAACTCTAGAGAACAGCTCAAGACTATGATTCCTACAGAAGGCAGATAGGGCAACTCCATGTTTTGTCTTCAGCTCTCTAACAGGCTGAGCCAAACGGGTAGGGAGGGAACCACACATAAGAATGCAAAAGATGTGCTTTAATTTATCAACTTAGCAACTGAGATGCTGTGGCCAACATAAGTCCCAATTCCCTTTCTCTTTCATCTTTTTGTTTTGCAATTTATGGCACGTCTCATATAAGTTTACTCCAAACTATGGTAACTACGTTTCATTTCTTTTCCAAGCATAACAGGATCTCTGCTTAAATCAATGAACAGCACATGGCAAGAGGGTTTGTACTAAATCCCCAGTTCCCAGATTGGCTCCCTTCCCACTATATACTTTCAGGATTCTCAGTTTGTGATGGTTGTGGGAGACACAATCACCACTAGGAAAGGACAGGCTGTTTTCTTCCCTCAAGCACAAGTTAAAGGCTTTGCTTAGATGCCACCGGGAAGTTAAAAAGAACAGAATAACAGAATTGGAAGGGACCTTGGAGTCTTCTAGCCCAACCCTCTGCTCAAGCAGGAGACCCTACATTCCAGACAAGTGGCTGTCTAGTTTCTTCTTAAAAGCTTCCAGTGTTGGAGCACCCATAACCTCTGAAGGCAAGCCATTCCACTGGTTAATTAGTCAGCACACAAATCAGCAATCCTATTCACCCACCTCAGTGCATGTTTTCAGGGGGAAGAGAAAATGCCTTTAAAAAACAACTTACCATCAGCAAAGGAATCATCCACCACATTTAATTTGTTGTCCTCTGATGTCCTTCCTTGCCCATTATTTTCTCAACTCATGGGTTTTCTCTCCCAGGAGAAAAGAGGAAGAACTGCCACTGTACCTTCCCAGCTTGTTCCTGGACCATCTGAAAAACAAGACACGTCAGAAAAGGTGGGCTGCAGCTGATTAGGACCACAATTCCAATATTTACAAAGACCCCTTTGGGAGTGGAGGAGACTTCTGAGCTGGCATCACAAGTTTCCTTGCAGGGCAACCAATTACAAAGGGGTGTGCGTGCAAAATCGAAGTCACACTGGTGTTCCCCCGGACACATGGTTCACTCCCCTGTTTTGTCTTCACCAGTTTTTTCAAAATGAAAGGTCTCCTCGTGGCTTCCTTACCCCACATGCCCCAAACACTCCAGGAGGAGGGCTACATTTCTTCTGGGGGGGGGGGATTGGCAATGGGGGTCCTGCCGGCCATCCTTTAAAGTGGTCTCTGGGGAAACGGCTGGAAAAGAGAGATTCTGCTCCACACTTGTGGCGCAGCTATTCCTCAAAGGCAATTTAAGGGGATAGTCTTGAGTTTCTGAGCTGCGGATCCTTTCCCTGCAATTT